ATACCTCCCTAGCCATCTTTCTTGATGCAGAGGCAAATTTACCTTAAAGAAAGGATTTTCAGCTTCTCGTCCCAGATATTTGGGTTCTGCTCCTAGCCACCCCTCTCAAGACAGAGCCAGGTTTTTGGAAAGACCTGGAATTTGGGTTTGAATCCCAGCCCCACCACCTACCAGTCCTGTGATTTTTTTGGGCAATTGCTTTAGTTCTCTGATTTTCAGTTCCCTCAACCGTGGATGAGTAAGTCAAAAAGCTACTTCAGTGGATTGCATGTTGATGTGTGTTAGATAATATCATATATACAAAAATGATTCATGCCAATCCTGGTGAATACTCAGAGCTAAAAAATTGTTAGTTTCTCTTTCTCTCTCCTGTCTAACACTGTATCACCTTGGGCGTGTCAGTCCGTATACCTGGGCTTTAATGTCACATCCCTCAAGTAGGAGCCACATTTTCCTCACTACAGCACAGGTAGAGGTTAAGAACACCGGCTTTGACGTTGGATAGCCCTGAGTGCAAATTCTGAATTTACCACTTCCCACCTTCTGCCCTTGGACAAATTACTTGACCTCTCCTAACCTCAGCTTCATCATCTATAAAACAGGAAAAAATAATGGTGTGGGCTTCATAGAGCTGCTGTGAGGATATCATAAGATCATGAATACTAAGCTCTTAGCTTATGGTACCTACTCAGTAAACACTAGCTATTTATTACTGCTGTATGCCTGGGACACAGGCAAATCGTGGTGGTTGGATGAGATCATAGGTATTCAGATATTTAGAAAAGTTAAACAAGCAAGAAATTTCTTGTACTGGACTTTCTTGCTGAGTTTTCAGCCCCGTTCAGTTAATTTAATTTTTATGTTGGTACCATTCTGTAAAAGTGACGAAGTCTTTTGTTATTTTTATTGACGAATAACGTATAAATAGTAATGTGCATAAATATGAATGTGCACAAGTACAACTCAGTCAATTTTTAATATTTATACATCACGTAACCACTAACCAGATCAAGATATAGAACATCCCCACACCCTAGAAGCTTCTTCATCACCCCTTTCAGGCAATATCCATTCCCAAAAAGTAGCTCTCTCTCTTCCATCTATCACCAAAAATGAGTCTTTCCTTGGATGACATTTTTATTATTCTTATCTCTAGAATCAGTTTAATATGGAAAATACTGTTTTATAACCTGCATTCTCTGAATCTGATCACCTTAAAATGAGGAGTTGTGTACTTCATCGGTTCTGGGCTCTCTCAGTATTGACGAGTCCTCACAGTGTGCCCCACCTTGTGCTGTTCACTTGGAGGGAAACAAAAGCCTAGCAGACATGCTTCTCCCCTAAGAGAGCTTCTAGTCTAGTTAGAGAAGCAAGCCTTAAAATGGAACATCGCCTGACGGCAAATGAGTCCGTGCAAACCATATCCTAGAGGAGCAATCTCGTGGTTCTTGTTCCCAGCCCTCCTGAAGACCTTGTTTGGTATTGGCCTCGCTCCCCATACTGATGGTTCCTTTGTTTTGGGGTCACTAGGATGTGGAAGGCTTGCTGCCTTGCCATCTGCTATTGTGTCATGTATGTCTGTGGGGTCTCCTGCTGGCACATTAATGAGGTAAAAGGAGGGTGCATGGAGTCCACTCCCCAAGTGCTTGTTCCAAGATGCCTTTGATCAGGACGTGGGACCCAAATTCTCTTTACAGGTCACTGTTGTCTGTAAGACAGTGCACACTCCGGGAGAAGTTAGTAAGTATCTGTTTATCACCACTTGCACTATAAAAACATTGCTGTGCAGTACTGTTACTTAGGAAGCTTAAATTTTTAAGAGATGCAATGGCCTTTATCACACTTATTGCCATCCAAGGAACCGGTTGAACATAAACTGTTCTGTATGGTTGTAAGTGCATAACACGGCAGTCTCTTGAGCAGATTTTCTGTGCTCTGTGGGAACAAAAGACACTCTTCAAAAACTGAAGACTCAATCAGCAAACCACTGATTGATTGCAAAAGAGAGGAGGAGTGAGCAGTTTCATTGTGTAGCTCTGGTCATTTTCCTGAGCATTTTAAATGAGAAAATGGCATGCTAAAGCAATAAATCATGTCACATTATTGCCCATCATCCATCATTTCGTCCAGCCACCTATTAATAACATTCACCTCTGTCTAATTAAGTGAAAAAGATAATATTTGTTCTAAATAGCTAAGCATTTTTTTGTAGGCCAGTATTTACAAAGATCACATTTTTTCCTGTAAGGAGGCGTCAAGATGTTGTTTGGAGTTTTAGAGTTTGAAGTACATATTTTCCTTGTGGGATGCTGTAAACTCTTATACTGGAGGGGACAAAAATTAGCAAAACTACTTGGAAAACACTTCTACATTACCTACAAAAGCCTAAGATTGCATCCACCCAGCAGTGCAGCTTCTACATATGTACCCTAGAACATTGGTTCTTCGACTCTAGTGTAAACCAGAATCCCCTGGAGGGCTTAAGAAAACACACAGTGCTGGGCTCCACCCCAGAGGTCCTGATTCAGTAGGTCTGGGCTGGGACCATAGAATTGACATCTGTAACAAGTTACATCTGTAACAAGTGCTGTACCAGCACTGATGTTACTGCCCCAGAACCGCATTTTCAGAACCACTGTTTTAGAGAGATTCTGGTACGTGTACACAAGAAGACGTGAACAAAATTTTTCAAAAACCTTGTTCCTCCTAATCCCAAACTAGAAGCAACTCAAATTTCCATCAACAGTTCAACAGGTAAATTAACTGTGATATATTCATACAAGAAAACACTGCAGAGCAATCAAAATGCGTGACCTACAGCTACCTGCCTCAGCAGGAGGAATTTCAGGAGGCGTCGATGAGTGAAATAAATGAGGCAAGAAAGAATACCTACAGTGCGAGTGCATCTACGGGAATTCAGAAGCAGGAAAAACAAAGTTCTATTCTTTATAAATGCCTACATAGATGGTAAAACTATGAAGAAAAGCAGATAATTGATTATTGCAAAAGTCAGCTCAGAGATTATGTGGGGGGAGGGGTAGGGAGGCATACAGGGGCTCCTCGGGTGCTAGCAACAGTCTGCATCTGAACTTGGCTGCTCATTATGTGGGAGTTGGCCTCCTAATTATTATTTAAACGATACAATTGTATTTATTCACATCTGCATATTTGATACATCCACTAATTAAAAAGAAACTCAAAATAATCATTCTATCTTAAAAGAAAATATCCCCTATCCTATATGTATTCTGGTTCTTTGACAACTCGTTTGAATTTTAGGATCTGCCCACTGGTTATGAAAAATAAATCTCTTAAGCTTTAATATATGGTTTAGTTATTCTTCTAGGTGAACTATTAAAATGGAGGGATGATAGAATTCTTTAAAGAAATATACTCTTATTACAGTCAAATATATTTGGTGATATGAACTACTGATGAAGAAAGTGTCACAAAGTACAAGACCTGTCAGTCCGATTTGGAGAACAGATTAGAATCTTCTGCACTTCGAATACTTCTTGTCTGTATGCATATAATCAGTCATGGTAGGCCCTACAGTTAGATCACCTTTTAGGCACCGAAGATAAGAGCATACACATGATGAAAGAGGTCGATGACTCTTTGCCACATTACAACAGGTTTACATAATTTTCCCTTATACAAATCTCACGACTGCAAGAGTGAACACTCCTAGGAACTATTTCCATTTTATGGGAGGAGAACCATTTTTGAAATATTTCTTCACTTTTTGAAAGGGAGGAGGGATTGACTGTGTCTGTTCATTATATTGTGATGTCTTTTGCCTCCAAAAATTCAGAGAAGAGGAGTTGGGAACATCTGCAACCCCTTGAGGATCCCAGGAATGCTCATTTCTGTTTGAGAAAGCTTACTTTGTCTTTTCCTGATATCAGAGCCTTGCTTTTAAATTTTGTTGAGCTGAGTCTCTTTCTTTACTACAGTTTTTAGTCTATCTTGTAAAAACAACAATTCTTAATCCCCCTTTTAAACATAAGTTTCCTTGCGTCATGAGCCGCATTTCCCCTATTTGATCACAGTGTGAATTCCTGATTTGCACCTACCACATGTTGAGTTGACAGCTGCATAATCCTGAAACACATTCTTGCAATGGTGCCTGCCAATATGATGACATCCCAGGAATTCAATTGCAGCTGCCTATTGATATGAGTGGTAGCTTTATTATTTGGTGCGTTAACCAGATGTATTAGGTACAATTCTTGCAAGTACAAGATGCTAAAAGGATATATGCCTTATTCATTATAGTGAAAAATTAGAAACAATCCAAATGTCCATCAATAAGGAAATGCTTAATTAAATTATGGTATAGCTATACTACGGAATACTATGCAACCCCCCAAAAGAAAGTCGATCTGCATTTATGGACATGTGTCAGGCTCCCCATTAAGCACTTTATATGCATCATTTTATTTAATTGTCAAAACAACCCCATGAACTTCCCATTTTATATATGAGGTTACTGAGACTTGTCCAAAGTCACACAGTTAGTAAATGGTGCAGCAGTAATTAGATTTGAGTTCCGTGGACCCCCAAATTCATTTCTTTATCCAGTTACACTCTACTAGCTCATGAATGTCAAAGCCATTTGTATTGTTGACTCTCCTCTCATGGAGATTTGGTTCAAGATGGGTATTGGTTTGCATAAACATGAAGAATAGGAAGAGACTCATGTAATAGTGAAAGTGAACATATCTAAGTGTCAAGACTAAATTACTTCTGAAGGAGTTAAGTTTTCTGTACTTTCCATGATAAAACAAAATTTAAGAGCATACATCAAGATTCTGGTAATGTGTGCAATCCAAGTCAGGGATTTTCATGTATTTTCAGAGCCATTACTCTGTTTAAAATGCCAAATTATGAATGAAGTAAATGAGAAATCGTGATTTTGCTCAAATGTAGTTATTGATAATGTAAAATATCACTTGCATGCTTGTTTTTATAACTTTTCATTCTTTTAATATTTACAGATGGACAAAAGAGAAAGAAATCTTTGAGAAAGAAACTGGATTCACTAGGGAAGGAGAAAAACAAAGACAGAGGTAAAAAACAGAATGAACTAAAAGGAATACATCTTCCATGGAGCATAATGGTTGAATTTGTTGGGATTTTTTCATTGCACAGATTTAAGCCGTTCAACTCTATTATGTAAACTGGATTTCTATGATGGAATGTTGTTAAGGACTGTTTTGGTCTACTCTTTTGTGTATGAGTGGCCCTGTACTGAATTGATGAGTTCAATTGGTTTGAGAAAAGTGTGACTTTGGCCAAGTTTATGGTTCCAATTATGATGCTGGCCAATCAGCAATGCATCAGGAGAACCTGGGTTGAGTAGCCATGGGCAGCATCTCTAATGCTAACCAGCTGTCTGGCAAATCCAGATAGTCAGGCAGAGCTAGTTGAATGAGAAAGAGTTTGGATTCGCTTACCATGATTACTGGAAAGAAACAGTCTCATCCTCATGGGTTACTGAAGATGGGCCATTCTCAGCAATTTTTCTGTTAGATTACAGCATGCTTATTTTTGCCCTCTGTGTTTTGGGAATTGTTGATGCTCTTCATACTGTTTTGTATCCCCTTCTATGTCTATTTAGGGAACTAACACTTTAGCCACTCTTTCAGAGGTGTTTGTGGTCATTTTTAACTAATATTCACTGAGTCCGCTTAATGGACACCTGGGCCCCATTAGCACAGTACAACTTTTTGTGGCTTGTTTCTATGGTCCCATATGAAATTACTGCTGAATGGTGTGGTCATATGAGTGTATTTTCATTTTATGCGACATAGTGAATGAGTGTTGAGTGAGGAGAGCCTTATGTCTCACCTGGGAGTTCTTTTATATAATGATTGAATTTCTGCTTGAAAAGTAATGGAAGGCGATGAAACTGAAGGTATAAAAATAAATGCATTGTGATCAGTATTGGACAAGACCTAGTGCATGCTATAGATCCCAGACTCTACACCCCTATCTTGAATTGTGCCTAAAGGGTCATGACATTTGGTTCTTCGGACTAAAAGGAGATAAAGAATTCTAAAGAATGGAAAACCAATGTTTTGCTTCGCTTAGAGCATGATTTCTTAACCTTGTGACGATGACACTTTAGCCTGGATTATTCTCTGTTGTGGGGGCTGTCCTGTACATTGTGTAAGATGTTTAACAGCATCCCTGGCTTCTACCACTAGATGCCAACAGTACCACCTCCAAGAACGATATCTCCAACCACTTCTGATGTTTACCTCAAACTAGAGAAAAGGAGGTTAAAATGCCAGTGATCCCTACCCCTGACTGTACAGTAGAATCATTTGTGGAAACTTTCAAATACCAATGCCCAGACCCCTACCCCAGAAAGTCTGATTCCATTGGTCTGCAGAGGTACTGGGCATGAGTAATTTTATAAGCTACTAATGTACAACTTTTAAGATGAGAACTCCAGTCCATATTAACCAGTATGCTCACCAGGTCATGTCCTATCACAGCAGAATATGCTTCTGGCATAATGAAGGCAGAGGACGTTAACTCTTGTCTGGCATTCTATCATTGTCTGATAAATTGTATTTTATCTAATTGGTTCATATGATCTTGCCCTTTTTTTAAATATGAGTATTTCAAATGAGTATTAGTAGCCAGTGTAGCTCTTTTAAACTAGAATTTTTGCTCATTCTATTCCTGCCATAGAGTACATTTACCTCGCTAGATTAAAGTAATTCTTGGTGTTGATAGAGTACATTGAAGGGATCACTCAGACTGGTATTAGTAATAGGTTCTTTGAAAGTTGGCTTATTCTAGGATGATGATATTGATACTGGGGTTTGAATACTCACAATATAGACTTTAGATGATTCTTCGGAAGTGTCCACTCAGGCTAGAATAAGAAGAAAGAGCACTTTTGCAGGAGATATTTGAGTTCCCTCAACAGAGGGTGATGTGTGTGTGCTTGCTTATATTACGAAACAGCAAGAAGCAAGAAAGCGAATGGTTAAGGAAGGAGGGGCCAGAGGAAAGAATCAACCAATATGCACTGGGCCATTATAAACTTTTCAGACAAAATCATATTTATATATTACATAGCCTCAGTGAAAACTTGGCAGTCTTCTATAAGGCTGCATGGGGATCTGGCTGGGAAAAGGAAGGCAGGTCCTGGTGGTTCCAAAGAAAAGACACATCACGCATCCAGCTAAAAGCGAAAGCAAAAGGCTCCACAGCAAAAGGTTTTTTGGGTTTTTTTAAAAGTAGCTTTGATGTTTAAAAAGATGTCCTAGGCTTAAGTGAAGCTTAATTGTATGGCATCTTTTCTGAACATAAAGTCATGTCTATGTCAGCACATCCATTGCATGGATGTCCTGGGAACCAGGTGCGAGGAGCAGTGTGCAGGTCTCACACAGTTGTAATCGGTTCACATTATTTCCTTCCAGTTAAGTATTAGCATTTGGGTTCATAACAGCTGCACATGTGAAAAATGATAATCATTTGAATCCAGAGTAAAAGAAGGAAAACAGGAAACTCTAAATGACCTCTTGGGTTAGGTCATCTAAAAATAAATAGGAACAGCTTTTTAGAATCGAATTGCTCCCCCAATCAAGAATGATTTATTAAATGTTTGATGTGCCACTATATTAATGGACTCAATCAGAATGAATCATGTCCTGTATTGTATTTGATCACCTTGACATAATATAAAGCAGATTATGCGACACTCCTGTAACCCTCCTGCCACTTAAGCAGTGCCCATATGACTTTTGATTTCCATAAGGAAACTAATTCAAGATTGATGCTAGTTCAGAAAGCATATTTTCAATACAGAATAGTTCCAAGTCCTTAATTTCTCATAGTTAAATTACTTGGCAACCAAATAGTATTTTTTTAAACTTTCAGCACTTTAGAAAATTTCTTTCTTGTGTCAAAAGGAAATCACTTTTGGGGGAAAAGCTTTAGAAATAGCTGCTTTGTTCCAGTTAGTGTGGTTCCTAATCAGAGTAAGAGCGGAATAAGTTTCGCTGTGGCATAGCTCTGGGAGATAGGCTCTCTCTCCGCCAGGATATTTTCAGATTCTGCCATATACTTATCCACAGAAAATCTAGGGATAGTCCAAGTCTGGTGCCTTTCTTTATGCTGAAATCATATTATACCATGTTTTATTGTTCCTCACTGTTGAGGTATGTTCCTATATGTGAGCTGTGAAGTAACACTGATAGGAATAATTGACAAACTTTATTTTTGCGTCTTTATATTAAGTAGCAGGAGACAAATCAAGTATCAGTTATCACTATTTATAAATTCTCAAAGAAAAGGTACTGAAGGCTCTCACTGAGTACTACTACTGGAGAAGAGAGAAGCAGGGGGAGTATGATTCCAGGGAAGAGTAGGGAGGGGCTCGCTCACACAGGACAGTGTGGGCCACAGCACAACTTTTGGTTCTCAAGCTAAGAACATTGAGACACCATCAAAGTGTATTAAGGAAGGGGAGACTTAATGGTGTCTTTAAACAGATTGCCACACTGCAGTGTAAAACATGAGCCTGGGGTAGGGGGAAGATGAGAGTGGAGGGAGGAAGCCTGATTCCAGAGGTAGAGTCACTTCTGGTGAGGACAAGGTCCAAAATGGGACTAAGGGAGTGGGTGAAAAAGGTGGCGTGTGGAAACAGTAAGAGGAGAGGAGAAGGTCAAGAAGATGTAAGGACAGAGAATCAGATGGGTCATTTAGACAGACATCCAAGTCACCCAGGGTGATGGTAGATTGGGGATTTGAGTCAAAGTCAACCACAATAGAAAATAGCAATGAGCAGGAGACAATGGAAACCTCGCAGTAGCAGGTTTGTGCCACATTGTGTGAGGATGAAGACCTGAAAGTTGCACTAGGAGGCAAAGAGAATGGCATGCCACCTCCTGACCCCACAGTTCATAGGGAAGGAGAGTAGGCAGTCGCTACCAATGAGGACAGCAGGGAAAGCAGTCTCCTTAGTGAGCACATACTCTAGATTAGAACATGATACACGCCGTTCCTGGCCCCAGAACAGTGAGTGTTGGGTAATGTCCTTATGGTTTTAAAAGCCTATTATCAACTTTATTAGCCACTATCAACACAAAGAGTCTTTAGGTTCCTTTTTCCCTAGAAAAAGAGCTTTGAACCCACAGATAAGCATATGAGCCCGACACTTTATTTACACATAAAAGAGTGTTTTGCTCAATAGACTTGTGATGAGTCCTCAATTTCACAATAGCCATATGTTGAGAAGCAGCAATATTCGAGGAATCCTGCCTAGAATTTTGCAGAGACTAGACACTGCCGCAAAAGTTTAGAGCATAGAGAAGTCTCCTTTCTGAAGCTCTTAAGAGTCCTCAGGAGGAAGCAAGAAGCAACTAAAGAGACTACATCAAAACTCTACCACTGAAAGAATAAAGAACTCAGCCAGGAAACAAAGTGTGTTAGAGAGAAATAAAAATCTGTTATGGGGGCTATATCTCTTGAATGGGAATAAAAGAGAAATAAAAATTTGAGGAGAATGACTTCCTGTATCCCACCTGTTTAATTTGTAGTCAATTATTCCAATTTACAAATAGAGTGACAGACTTTTAGATATTAAAAATGATAGATTCCAAAGGAAACCACTTTTCTTCTTTTTTTCCAGGGATATTAGGAATCTCTAAACGAGTCTGGTTGCTTTTCCTTATATGGAAAAAAACAGCGAGGAGAGGACTCTATAGTCTCCGTCTCGTATTCAGTCCCTGCTATGTGTATGCCTGCATGAGCAGACACGTGTCCCTTGATACATTTATCAATGTCCCTTCTGCTATTATTATCCCCCAACAGTTTTGGTGTACTCTGTGTAGCTGTCAGCCCTGCCAGCCACATGTTTCTAGACTTTACCCAAACTTTTTGAAGCAAGACTCTTTGCTTTTTCCCGCAGACAAGGCAGCACTGACTCACCCAGGAAATCCTGAGGTGCACATCAGGTGGTCTGGTAGTGTCCCCTTTGATTTCTAATTCTGCTCGTAGTGGAAATGGCCTTTTGTCAGTAGTGAGTATTGGACTTTTCTTCTACACTGTCCGCATTGATCAGTCAAAACAAATGCCTAAATTATTTTTTTGCATTATCATATACCACCTAGTTTGTTGATAGAGAATGATAAGCATCCTTTGAAAATTCAGAAATGCTTAAGTTTTTATTTCTCACTTCAAAACAAATTGCATGTTTCGTTAGAACCAGAGGTGCAGACTTTTCAAGGACCATTTCCACTTTTAATGTAGACTTGGCTATTAGCCTAGTGAGGTTAAAAATGCTGCCATGGATCAAGAAGGAAAACCTTTTAAAGCCTCTTTCCACCTGAGTTAACGTTAGCTTTGTCTTTCAAAGAATAAACAACCTTAGAATTATTTTCCCTTCATCATTCTGGTTTTATTCATAGGGGTTATAAAAACAAAAAAGAGCCTGGACTCCAATTTTCTGCTGCTGGGAGACCTAATTTTGAGTCTAAAAAAAATAATGTATTTAATTATTAATGCTTTTCAGCATGAATCTAAAATATTGCCAATAAAATGCCCGGCCCTAAAGATCGACGTGCTTACAATGTATGTGTATACAAATGGATTTACAACAGAGATCCAGAAAGCAACAGTATGCACATCTCCAAATAAAGCTGTGGATTTCTGCATTATGCTTCTTCCCCAAAATTGCCCTTACCGGAGGATTTAACAAATTGTTTCCTGGGCCCTTCACTGGATATTCAGTGGTGAGAGTCCACTTCTGCATGTGGCCAGCAGAATGGCTTGAGTATAGATCAACAAAGTGACAGCCCCAACTCAGCAACAGGATGTGGGGACAAGGAACACAAGAGAAAACTTCTTCCCAAGCTGCTCCCCTGCCTCTCAGGTTATCATTTCATGTGCTGGCTCTTTTACTGGAAACCTCAAGGTGTATCCACTTAACTAAATTTTCGCCTTCACTTCATGCATCTGTCATGTTATCTACATGATAGACACTATTTTAATTATTTACATATCTGATTCTCCTCTCCCCAACCCCACCCCACACTCTGAATCTTTCAAGAGCAAGGACTTGACCTTTATAAGCTCTTTCCTCCCCATTGCATAACTCAACATGGTATGTAGTAGGTGTTCAATAAGTGCCTGTTGAATGAATGGATCAATTCAGAGTCTTCTCATGCCTTGCATGCTCTGCGGGCTCTTGAGACATATAAACCAAAGACTAACAGTTTGTAAAACTGTGTACTCTTGAGGAGAGAAGTATTATGTGCATTCTATCAAAAATGTCACATTTCTCTTTAAAGTTATTTCCTTTAAAACATACTTGAGATATGTGGAGAAAAACTAGAGGCCTAGATTCCTAAAAGCTGTGTTCTTTATACATGCTAGTTTTCTTCATTGAAATAGACTCTTTGGCCGCTCTGATAAACACAAAATTCATCTCCGTACTTTGATTGATCAATCAGTTCTTCAGAAGACAGTCATTTGAATGTCTGCCTTTAGATTGGAAACACGAGTGAGAGTCTTCACTGGTGCAGTCCTTCTCTGAAAGGGAATGTTTGTTTTTTGATTCCAGAATTCATCCCACAGGCATTTGGAATGCCCTTATCCCAAGTCATTGCCAATGACCGGGCCTATAAACTCAAGCAAGACTCGCAGAGGGACGAGCAGAAAGACACATCTGATTTTGTAGCTTCGCTCCTCCCATTTGGAAATAAAAGACAAAACAAAGAACTCTCAAGCAGTAACTCATCTCTCAGCTCCACCTCGGAAACACCAAATGAGTCAACGTCCCCGAACACTCCAGAACCAGCTCCTCGGGCCAGGAGGAGGGTGAGTTGGCCAGTATTTTCTCTGACACCAGCGCTAGGACAACTGAAGACTTATAAGGTTATTCTTTGAGTCTTTGCTCTGTGAAAACTGGAAATGTCATTTGTTTCCAGATATCTGTCAACAACCTCATTCAGGGAGAATTTGCACTGGCCATGTGGCAACTGGCACACCCTGGAAGCCTTCCCCGACCCCTCTCAAAGCTGTTGCATGCCCCTCCTTGGTTATCCATGTGCCCGATGATATCCTGAACATCACCATTGATCCTGCTCTAGTGTAATCTTCTGTTGTATTACTACACTTTCCCACGAGACTGTGAGGCTTGAGGCAGGGCCAGGTGTTTTTGTTAATCTCTTCATCTCCAGTCTGAAAACCATGCCTGGCTGAGTGAATTTGCTGCCAGTCTTTGTAAACGGGGAGATTTTGTCTTATCAATGGAATTTTTTTCTCAAACATAACCATAGAAACTTACATATATATACATATATATATATATATGTATATATATGTACATATGTATATGCTCTTTCGAATCAATACTGTAACAATATGGTACCTATTATTTGGTGTTTCAGATTTCACATTTCAATCCAGGAAAGCTGAGTTTTCAGGCAAATTGGTTGGTGATTGGCTGAGTCAGTTGATAAGCATGTCTAAAACTTCCTAGGCCACTGTGAGATCTTCTCTCCTTTTCCTCTTGCCTGGAGGCCCCAAATCTTTGCCACCTCCAGCCATTCACTACTGCCCTGGTTAAAACTCCAGACACCTCCCACTTAAAATCCACATTTCTTAATCAGCCTCCAACATTCAGGACCTCTCCAAGATAGAAGGGTACCTGAGCCACTGCTGTTTTTCAAGGATTTACCTATGTTTAAAAATAAAGAAGTGACAACGTTATGGAATATTTGAATTTGCATGAAGGAGTTGCTCTTCCGATCCTGCCATTGTCTCTCAGATTGTGTGTATAAACTTACATGGCAACATCACCAAAACTCCACGTTTGAACTTTCTTGGAATCTAGGGCCCAGGCGATGGGCCTCCCAAATGCTCTCTTCTTTGTCCAGGCCTTGCTAGGACACCAGCAGCCAACTTCTTCCTCTGCAGCTCATAAAAGGATGAGTGGCTATACAAACATAGTTGGTGCCCTACTCCCTTCCCCTCAGCCTTTACCATTCCTAGCATGCCAGCCTTCCTTCCACCTGCCAACACACCATCTCTTTGCTGTCTCTGATGGCCAGAGGCACCCACGCATGCAGCTGACAGGCTGCAAGTACCAAGTCGTTAACGTCACCTCCCTGCCCCTACCAGAAGCTGCCCTTAATCAATGACTCTTGACACTTGTGGCATAGATACCCTAGCTGCCTCACTCCTTAGCAGGAATAGCTCTGAGGTGCATGATCCCAGAGGTACCAGGGCGATTGGGCTCTAGCTGCGGTCATAGGCTTGGTGATGCTCCCTTCGTTGGCTGCCTTCACGTCGCTTTCTCATTTCCCCACTCTACAAGTATCTCCTGGGACCATTTCCCTAGTAAAGTGCTTTGTGCCACTTCTGGAGGAAACCAAACTAAGACTGTTTTATAGAATCCACCTACTTTAAAAATCTACTTCCTAGAGTCATAGTTGAGGGTTTTTTTTAATTCACAAACCTTCTCTGACTTTACCTCATTCACTGAGTATGTGATTTTTTTCTTGTTTCAAGAAATGAAGTGGTTGGGTCAAAATATTTTAATGATATATTTGCCATCTCTTGTCTTCCACTTGGAAAATGTTGTCTCTTGTTGAAATTGCAACTTCCATTCCCTTACCCTATGTTGTGGACGTTTCCTCACTTTTCCAAAAGGTGTTGGTTTTTTTCTTTTAATATACAAACAGCACAATTAAATCAAGCAGTATTATTTCAAGTGTGATAAATAGTCATGGGCAAAAGTATTTATTGGATAGCATCTGAGGGAAGCTGTTTTTGTTTTCTCCATCTACACTCTTGGCTCATGTCTGTGTGTAATTTGCAGGGTGCAATGTCAGTGGATTCTATCACAGATCTTGATGACAATCAGTCTCGACTGCTAGAAGCTTTACAACTCTCCTTGCCTGCCGAGGCTCAAAATAAAAAAGAAAAAGCCAGAGATAAGAAACTCAGTCTGAATCCTATTTACAGACAAGTCCCCAGGCTGGTGGACAGCTGCTGTCAACATCTAGAAAAACATGGTAAGCAGACTTGTCTGTCAGCGAGCAAGTACTAAAGACTTTTATTTATTCAAGCATCACCCATTTAAGCACCCAATTTCAATTCTGTGTTTATTGGATGAGGCTCTGGGCCAAAATTTCCTTTGCAAAGAAAGTTTACAGATGTGGGTGTTTGCTTAAGAGATTACTGGGCTAAACAAGATTGGGGGTGGGGGCAGAAATCACCTTCATGGTATTCAGACTGCCCAGCCCCTAGGAGTCCTCAGAAGGGACCCTGGAAGCCAGGTGATTTAGGGGATGGAAAGATCTGTCAGGCTGCGTCTGTCCCCAGGACCCCCTTCAAACAGAACAGAGCCGCTTTTATCTTTTTTATACATTGAGGTTACACACAAGGCTTCCTTTAAAAAACAATAGTCCAGCTTCTTAAAAAAAAGATTTGAAAATCATTTCTTAAGTGAATAGAAAATGCATAATTTTTGACAGCAGGTTTCTACATTGGCATTTGCATTTTTGTGGAAAGACGTCTATTTAAAATTTCTTCATGATGATCCTTTTGGTAACTCTGTTCCAATTAATACATTGACTTAAAAATGCTATACAGTTTTTTTAACTTTTTCCGAAATTTAGACTTTTGGCTCATCAAACTGCTATTTCCATAGTCTGAATTTGTTTGCTATAGTGTTAGCATGCATTTGATGGACATGAGAAAAGTTTATTAATTGCTTCTTTACTATAAAAATAATATGCTCATTGTAATAAAGAAAAAAAGAAATAGACAAAGAAAATTCTGAGGCTATCATTTAAATATAACTACTGTTAAATCTCATCTATTTCTTTCTAATAAAAATGAGACTTTATAAAAAATTATTAAGAAAATATCTAAATATCTTAGTCAACTCATTATATATGCAAATCACTAGATAACATTTGGGTTGCAATAAAATTAATATATATTGAAACTTGATTTGTTTGTACAAAATTTTAATATGTGTGCATGTGTGAGTTTATTTATCTGTCTCTTCTCCTTGGAAGGTAAACTGTAGGTCAAGGAAAATGTGTTAGTCATTTTGAATTTCCAGAACTTAGTATCATGATTAACACAGAGTAAATGTTCAATAAATATTACTTGAACAGAATTATTTTTAAAAATAGCTTAGCAACTAAAGAGTTCAGTACTTTGAATATGTAAAATCAGCCTAAATTTCACTATGAGGTAGAAAAAAAGACATAGTTTTATACTTATAACTTTTTCCTATAAAGAATGTAGAAAGAATGTAGGCATTTTAAAGAATTCTAAATGAGAAAATTCTACTCCAATAATGCAAAAATCCAGTGCCAGTTTGAGTAACTGCTTTTGTGAAAAAGAAAAAAACACAACTTAGTATTTCTATTTTCTTTTTGAAAACAAATTTTCATGAATGCAATTTGTAAAGTAACACTTCCTTTAAGCTTACTAAAAAAAGAGGGCAATTCACCTTCTTTTCAGAATAATAAAATGCAGTTTAGAGTCTAAAGGAAACAAGATGACTTGGGTCATCTTTCAAGGCTGTGATTCTGTTCTAGGTTTCCATGGCGTTTAGACCAAATGGCTCCAGAAAAATAAGAGACACATTCAAATTCAAGCAGATATTAATATTGGTCACTTTAAACCAATGAGAAAAAAGCAAACTTCAGGACCAGCCTAGTGGCATAGTGGTTAGGTTTGTGCACTCTACTTTGGCGGCCGAGGGTTCACAGGTTTGGATCCCAGGTGTGGACTTACACACTGCTCATGAAGCCATGCGGTGGCAGCATCCCACGTACAAAATAGAGAAAAATTGGCACAGATTTTAGCTCAGGGACAATCTTCCTCAAGCAAAAAGATGAAGATTGGCACAGATATTAGCTCAGGGACAATCGTCCTCACCCCCCCCCCCCAAAAAAAAGAGCAAACTTCAAAAGCAATTCTTTCAGTTTCTGATGAAAAGGAAAGAAAGGTGATCATGTTGATTTCTGGGACAGGGCACAGCAAAGTCACATTTCTTTGCCAGGTCTATGTCTTTTTTGATGTACACCTGTTTTTATCAGTGAGTGTCTTAAATCAAGGTTACTGAATACCTAGACTGCACCTTTTCTTTGAGGAAAATCACTGTAAGCCTTACGTCAGAGAATGACATTGGCAGTCTGATGGCTGTCATTTGCTTTACCTAAAAATAAATAAATAAATACTGTAAAAACTTGAGATTATAATTAATCGAGATACATGAGAATTATAGCAATCAGTCACTAACTAGTTATTTTTTTAAATCACGGTCATTTTTACAAGTGGAAAAGTACTATAATTGAAGAAATAATGTCATAGAAATGGTCATTTCTGAACAGCTTAGAGGAATTCCACCAAATGAATAGTCCCACCTGTGTAGAAAATGCCCGTATGTGATGTCTCACTTATGTAGAAGTTTCCACTCTTCGGCAACCATCAGAAAATAACAAAATAAATGTGGCCAAAATTAAAATTACTAAGACCTACTATTATATTAAAGTTTTCTTTTTGCACAAAGAAGACCCATTCAGTTCAGTCAGGGCCTTTCTACATAGTAATAGATGCCAGATATGATTCTAAGTATTTTATATGCATTAATACATTGAATCATTGCATCACTTTTGAGGTGAATACTTATTATGCTCATTTTGCAGATGAAGAGATGTAATTCTGGACTTAATTCTATCTTTTTTATTTTTTGAGGAAGATTGGCCCTGAGCTAACATCCATGCCCATCTTCCTCTACTTTATATGTAGGACCCCGTCACAGCATGGCTTGATAAGTGCTGCTAGGTCTGTGCCTGGGGTCTGAACTGGTGAACCCCGGGCTGCCAAAGCAGAGCAAGTGAACTTAACTGCTACGCCACCAGCCCAGCCCCTGAACTTGATTCTAAATAGCTTGGTTATCCTGTTTTCAAGTTCCCAGAGAAGAAAAAGCAATAAATTAGGCTGGGGGTTAGACTCAGTTATGAGGCAAATTGACAGCAGCAACAAGGAGAGTACAGAAGTCTTTTGAAAATAGATGCAAAGCAAAATCCCACCCAAGAGCAAAGCACCAATGAGCTTATGCAAATCAGTCTAAATCTCTCAGATTATTCTGGAAATTCAGGATACCATTTTTAAAATATAGAACTGATAAATGGGATGTTTATTTATGGGTGGTATGTTTTCTAACTATAAAACCCTGGAAAAATAACTAAAAAAATCTTATACTTAATACATAATGTGGTGAATATATATAAGTAAATATACAAAAAGATATCCATTTCCTATGTAAGAGCAATAATCAGTTATGTACTATAACAATAAAATAATTCATTCATATTAGTATCAAAAATATGGTATACCCAGAACATCTATAATAAAAAGTAAGAGACTTCTATGAAGAAAACTGCAAAGCTCTACCAAGAGGTATAAAACATGGCTTAAATTTCTTATAATTTAATTATATATTTTACTAATCAGAACTCTTTCAATAACAAGAGAGAGGAACCCAGGTAACACTAAATTAAGCAAAGCACCCCTCCAACAATATTCTATTTACATACTGGAAGTCCGAGTGTTATATCTGCATTCAGGCACAGCTGGATCTAGGACTCAAATGATGCTATGAGTGCATGAGTCTGTTTGCTGGCTTTGCTCTCACACCAGCTCTCTTCATGTGGCTACAGAAATGGCCATTGGCAGCTCTAATCTGGCATCACCCTCATAACTGATTATTCCAAATGAAGAAGAGAAAATGAGCCACCAATGAAAGAATTAATGTAGATTATGATCATTAGAGGTGATGATTAATGGCTTGCACAGGAAAAGGAGAGCCACTGAGACATTCAGTGCTCCTTGAAGGAAGTACATAATACCTCTTATGAAGTATTCTTGCCCCCCAAATCAAACCTGAATCAGAGAAAACACTGACTCTAACTATCTCTTTGGAGGAAATAAAGAGGAGAGAGGGACATATAAATGACACTATGGTATGTCCAAATCCAGACAGTGGGGAGATCTACAGTGGGAAATCAATGCTATTTCTTCATCAAACCAATTAGGAGGAAAGAATGTAAACAGAGACAGGGAAACATATACATTAAGAGACTAAAAGGCACATCGACCTCCCACAGTTTGTGAACCTTATATGAATGTTGACTGGAAATTTAATGATATTGAAAAGCTATTGTTGAAACTTCTAAGGTGTGACAGTGATGTTACTTGTTTGTTTTGAGAGACCTAATTTTTTAAAGCAGGGTTTCTCAACTTCGGAATTACTGACATTTTGGTCCAGATAACTCTTTTTTATGTATTGACCCTATAATCTCACTTCTAGGACATGATCCTAAAAAAATCAGAATTGTGAATTAAGGCTTATCTACAGAGTTGTTCATAATAGTGCCATTTATAATAACAAAACAAGTGTATGTGTGGTGGGGGACCTATATGCCATTCAGAGGGGAATATGAATTGTGGCACATTCATACAATAGAGTATTTTGCATCCATTTTAAATGACAATTACAAAGAAGTTTTACTGGCATAAAAATTCTTGTGGCATAATATTGAGTGAAAGCAATAGCATTTTCTCTCTCTCTCCATATAAATATTATAGTATGGTCTCAACTATGTAAAAATATATATATAATATATATATCCAGAAAAACCTGGATAGAAATAACCAAAATATTAGGAGTGATTATTTCTACATCAGGTATTTTTAAAAGCATATTATTTTTAAATTTTTTCTGCATTTTATAGATTTTCTTTAATAAGTACATGTTTTAATTATGATCAGTAAAACAAGAAATATCTATTTTAAAAATTGATGAGGAGCTAAATATTCATATAAAATTCATGTTTAAGTAATTTTCTGAATAATGAAAAAAATGTTACATTATTTTTTTTCACATGGAGAGAGGTATGGAAATACATAATATCACATGAAAAATTTTTCATCAGAAAGATTTAACATAAAATGATCCTGGTGCCTATAGGGCTGACCTTTACGTACCTGAAGAATATAGTGTGGGATAAATAAGCATTAGTGTGCGCTGTCAAGTTACTATTGCTCTGCGTGTTACAGCATGGCGCTGGCATTCTGTTGTATTTCTATTTTGATTTTCTCCAGAGTTTCAAGCCATAAAACAGAACAGCTAATTTTGTTTACTTATTTGCAGGCCTACAAACGGTGGGAATATTCCGAGTTGGAAGCTCAAAAAAGAGAGTGAGACAAGTAAGTAAAAAGTGAAAATTATATTGTACATTTCACTTGACTTTCAATTGAATTACCTTGTGCAAAGTTCAAGCTTATGAAAATTCATTTCTGAATATATTTTCTGTACCCTCCCACCAATTATGGCATAATTGAGTCCCAAGAGGTAAGAACTCAGAAGCTCAGAAAGGTTGCAATAGAGTTAGGATCAAACACTTGAAAGCAAATCGTCTGGACGTGTCCATGGCATATACTGCCAAACAAAATTAATTTATAAATACCTTATTGAAACTGTAAAAGCAGGAGATTCAGATAGTACCTATTTAGTAAGTGATAATAAATAGAAAAAAATTGTATAGCATCCGTTTTTACTAAAATGCAATATGAGTAATGCTATTACCATTCTCTTCATAAAAGATGCTATGTTTATAGCTTTACTTTCTCAAAAATAAATAATTTTTATTGTGTCCATGGAACCATTGATCCCCAGTTCATTTTTCATGTAGGGACTGTACCCCTTGATTTCCTTCAGCACTGTGCAACAGAAGTTTGATATTAGACCTTCACGAATGGGTTCCTATGATCAGGCAGGTATCTATGTTCACGATGGCTTCACAAAAGGCAAACCATCCTTTGAGAAAAGAATTTATGTCTTGACTAAGAGAAAATTAAAATGTAATTTTCGCTCTGTTGGTTCCAACAGAAATAAGGAACTCAGCAACTCAAAAATGAAGCCAAATGAAAACAATTTTTAGTTGGATGGAGTTGAAGAAGTGATATTTGTTCATATTATTGAAACTAACTGAAATAAATGCCTCCTCATATATCTTTTGTGTCAAGATAAAAGGGGCTTTCAAAAGAAGTATGTTTTCTGTTTGGTTGGTTGGTTTTTATTTTTAATAGTCACACAAGAGACTATTGAGCAACATTTAACATTTCACAGCAGGACTTTCAGGAAGGAAGACAGCATAGTAACATTTCTTAGACCCCTGTGCAGAACTGCAGAATATTTTCACAAACATTATCTCATTGAATCTTCCCACCAGCTATGGTGCTCCTTTCACCCACTTCATTTGAGGTTGAGAGATATTAAGAAACTTAATTCAAGATCACATAGTTCAACCAGCATTAAATTCAAGGTCACACAATTTATATCAAAGTCTTTCCAGAGTCCATTCTTTCTGCATGTGTGTGTACTCAGAAAAGAAACATGGTGTGTTTGAATGATCACAAGTAGGAGTGGTGCCGACGGAAGCCTTCGTTCTGGCTGCCTGATGCACACTAACGACGAGTTGCCTGGAATCAACGGGCAATTAATTCAGGACAGTAATGGGCATTCTCATCAGGTGGCAAGTGTTAGAAATTATTCTTCAGTTATATCTGGATCCACCAAAGGGGAAACCTTTGCATGGAGATTTATTTAAGGATTATCCCATAAAAATATAATCAGCAGTTATCTAGACTTAGATTTTCAATATGAAATATGTTCTAACTCACCATTTTATCTTGTTATATCACTTATTAGCACCCTACACTTTTTCTTCAGAACAATTGTCATGATATTAAGAGCTAATTAATCACTTGTGGGGTTGTCAGTTTATCTCCTGTCTCTCTATCAACCTGAGAGCTGGGGGAGGGTAAGGACTTTGCCACTTTATTCACCACCATACTTTGATGGCCTACAACAAGGCCTGGTACAGAGGAAGTATGCAGTACGTCTTTGTTGAATGAATGAATGATTGAACAAATGAACTCTTATAGAAGTTTACTGCATACAGTAGATTCATGAACTCAATTGTTTTTACAGCAGAGAACAATATATAAGAGAAGTTAAGCTGTCAGAAATGAAAGTAGGTTGTAGAGTTATGACTCCCTTCTTGCTATTGTGTTTTCCTGCTGTTATAAACGCTAATAAACCTAGTATAATGATTAAGGCAGAGAATCTTTCCGGGAATTGTTAAAAGGCTACTTTGACAAATCTAAGGCAACTTTTATTAACTTATTGTCATCTTTAAAGCCTTAGTCACAAATGGTTTATCAGGGTTTTTTAATTTCACTGTTTGTGGGAAAATCTCTTTTCTTTCTTGTTGAGTATTTCTGTAAAATGTCAAAATTCCAACATGGTAGGATTGCTGACATGCAAAACTGCTATATAATAGATTAATTCCTCCCTCCCACATTTGCAGTTGACCTATCCCCTTAGCTCTTTCTCCAAGCCCTCTGGATATTGTTATTGAGCCCTTCTGCTTGCATTACTAGCGGTAAACCCACAGATACTTTTATTTAATAACATGTTTAATGTATATGTATATTCATGGCTGACTTGCATAGACTGTAGATCAAGGTGATGTGTTTTTTGCTTCTCCTTCTCGGGATCTGTGTAAACTTAATACCAGATGCCCATGTCATAGCACTTCTTTTGCTGGGCACTGAATGTTAAGGTATGGTGTTACGAGACTGCCACTTGAACCGTTACTTTTCCAGTTACGTGAGGAATTTGACCGTGGGGTTGATGTCTCTCTGGAGGAAGAGCACAGCGTTCATGATGTGGCTGCCTTGTTGAAAGAGTTCCTGAGGGACATGCCGGACCCCCTTCTCACCAGGGAGCTGTACACAGCTTTCATCAATACTCTCTGTGCGTAATATAGCCGTTTGAAGGAATGTGTCCCTGGATTACTGGAATGTCCAACTCACTCATCAAAACCTTGTGCATGTAGTTCCTGATAACTTTTTTGTCCTTATTTATTGGTCTCTATTAAGTGGGCCATTTGGGGAATTTTCTGAGATTTACCCTGGGGAGAATTAGCAAGAAGAAAGTTGCAATAAAACAAACGGAAGTAGCCAAGAAGAATTTGGGATGCTTTCAAATGACCCTAGGACAGTAGAAAGTGCTATAAATTGATGCTTTGGAGTAACAGCAAGAGTTCACATTGAGCCTGTACCTAAAAATGAGTTTGCATTTCTGGTATGAGGAAGGAGAGAGCCACAGGGACCCAGAGTAAGAAGGAGGCAGGCAACATTCCAGGGAAGCAGGATGGCATAGCCCATTGCCAGGACTTTCAGTGTGGCTGCTTCAGGGTTATAGACACAGATCCCATGGAGGAAAAAAGGAGGGTAAAGTGGGGAGGAAGAGGCCAGAGCTGTGTCAGCCTCCATGTATTTCTTCCTCCAACGCTACAATTAAAACAGAATCACAAAAGTGACAGATGACACTGTCATTGTGCTGTGTCTTGGTTATTGCCAACAAAAAGTCTATTGAGAAGGGCCCCAAATCTGTCATAAACTCAAATTTTAGAATGTTCACCAATTCTCAGTCATTGTTAGTAAATATCTACCAGCAGTGAAAGACTGTAATCCATAATGTACGTGATAAGTTACACCAGGGCAAGGAGGGAGAAGAAAGGAAAGGGGATGAAGTGAGCTTTCTGACCTGGACTATAATACCTTCTCCAGCTGCCACATTTCCCCAGGTCTGATTTACCTTTATATCCTTCAGAGAACCTTGCTGCTAAATTGCTAAACCAATGGAAGAGTGGGTAAAGGAATGAAATGTGACTAGCCTTGATGATCCCTTTCTGAAGATAGCTGAGAGGGGGCCTCTCCTCCGAGGCTGAATGACGTGAGTTTTCTCTTTTACTTACATAAAGTGCCTCTTTTTGCCTTGCTTAGTGTTGGAGCCAGAGGAACAGCTGGGCACCTTGCAGCTCCTCATCTACCTTCTACCTCCCTGCAACTGCGACACGCTCCACCGCCTGCTACAGTTCCTCTCCATCGTGGCCAGGCATGCCAATGACAACATCAGCAAAGATGGGCAAGAGGTATGCACCCCTTTGCTGCCATAGATGCTGTGACTCTTCCTTTTTCCTGTTTTAAAAGGGCAAGCCATCAATTTGGTTAAACATTTCCCCTGCAGGAAATGACACCTCCCCTTTCCTGGCCTATCTGTCTATGAAGGAAAAAGAACTGATGCAGAGTTTTCTCTGGAGGGACAGTTCCTAAGAACACAAAGGCCATTAACTTCTCATGTTTCAAGAATGCTTCCAAATGAGGCTGTCATTTTCCATGATGATGCTTTATTCAAGACCTTGCATTTCCATTGTGTGAAGAAGGCAAATAATGAGCTACAGAGATGTTTACAATCATGAAAAAATGGAGTAATGGAGATGGGGAGAGATTGCTGTCCCTGTAATTAATTTGATCTGCTTCTTTAGCTTGGAGCCCAGATATGATGTCACCTCTTTATTCTTCCAGTTTCTCCCGGAGCTCCCATCTTCCCTATAGCTAGAAGTCTAGTATCTTCCTTTTGAGAGAGTCTTTCTCTCCTTAAACCCTCCCCCAAAACAGGGACTGGCTGAATGCAATGGAGAGTCAGTCCTGCTCCCAAACCAGGTGTAGAGGGAACTAGAGGGTCTGATCTGTTGACCATTGTCATGCATCTTAATGCCACATGATGTCAACTGCCGAAGACAGGTTCTGCACAGTCCCATGGACCCTTTTGGGATTTTTTTATTGGACCTGGTCCCCGCTCAGGCCCTAGTGTGACCCCCATCTAAGGTCTTGGGCTCTGATTCTCTTTGGTCACATGCATATGCTTCAAGGTGTTTTTCAGTTTCACCATTGGACAAAGGGGACACTGGCCTCAATTATAGGTGACCTTTTAACAAGCAACCTATTTAATCTTCACCTTAACGAGAGACTGTTTCCCTTTTTGATACCACGAAGTCATGCTTCTCCTTGACCTTGGATTCCACAGGAGACCTCAGACACTTTAATATGCTAACATGCATTATAAATCAACAAGAAGGGGCCAAAGGCATTCCAAACTTACCTAACCACAGAAAATTTTCTTTTAAATCCTTGTTAAGCAGAACTCAGCTGAATTATGGATTCATTTCTGTGTTTGTCAAATTTCTTACCCAAAAGTCATGGTCATATGTAATTTTTTTCACTTTAATCCATAAAGGCAGTTCTGCATTTCTTATCCTCATCCTCCCTATCAGTCTGAGAATGAAACGTTCCTGCATTAGCCTTTTATCTCTACAGTAGTTGTAATTAGTGAAACCTCTGCTGGTTTCAGGTTTTATAATATGGCACTGACACCTTATTTCAGCAGACACAGATCTTCAGTGGATGTACTATAATTTTCATAATTGTTAAGTAGTTATATTACCCATCTGGGTGTCATCCTTTATCAACTACGGATATAATAGAAGCTATAGAATCATCTGCCTAATCATTGGGTAAAGGCAGAGCCCTGTCTGTGTTCCTAGATATGTCAATTGCATCTCTGAAGTTTCTTAAGTACTATGTGAGAAGGAGAAAGTCAGGTCTTAGGTGATTAAGAAGGCTTTGAGGAAAACGAAAAGTTCAATTGAACTCACTCTTGATTTTTTAGAATAATTGTCAGACACTCTTTCAGTCCAAATGCTAAACAGGACTCCACTGCCTGTGCCAAAGAGAAGAAAATATTCCTGAATAGGTTCAAATGAAGCTTAGCATGCTGAAATGCTAGCTACCGTGTATGTATCGCCTACCATGTGCCAGCTATGTGCTAGGGGCTTTATATATTAGAGTTAATCTTTCTTTACGCAAGAGAGATGTTGTTGCCCCCACGTTTCAGAGGGGTTAAGTAACTTGCCCAGCGTCCCCCAGGGAGCATCCACTTGTGGTTGTTCAAGTTCCACATTTGTGCGTTTCACAACTCTGGGAGAGGTGCCATGTACCCCCATAGTCATTGTAGATTTGCAAAATTATTAGGACAATATCCGAGCAGATGGCAGTAAAATATCTTGAGGAACAGGCTCCTTTTTAAATTCACACAAAGTTGTCATATTGGATAGTGGTCAGGTCGGTCCCATGACTAGTAAAGTCCTAGCTGTGCCTCAAACCCAAACTGGTCCAATTTAGTAGGAACAGAAATATAGAAAAGGAAGTAGGAAAAATCTCCACTGGGAGTCCAGTTCAGGGTTTCCCAGTCTCCATATGATTGACATTTGGGACCAGGTAATTCTTTACTATGGGGGCTGCCCTGCGCTTGTGGGATGCTGCTAAGCATCCCTGACCTCTAATCACTTGATGCCAGTAGCAGCACCCCCAACCCCAATTGTGACAATCAAAAGTGACTCTAGACATTGCCAAGTATCCTGTGGGGAATGGGGAAAGGGAACAAAATCACCCCTGGTTGAGAGCACTTGGTAGGTAGCTTTATAACTCGCTGACCATGCGAAATCCACTGGAGAAACTTATTAGCCTTCCTAAACCTGAGTTTCCTTATCTGAACTTTAGGAATAAATACTCTTCAACCGGCACTGCTCGGTGGGTGAGAAAACTAGTTTACTATAAGGAATATGAAAATATCCTAGTAACAGCAAAGTTGTACAGGAAAGCAAGAGATTACAAGAATTTCTGGATACTCTTGACCTAAACCTTGAATCAAAATGAAGAACTAGTAACCAGAAATTAAAGCAGCAGGGGAAATATGAGGAGAGCATTGCCTCTGTGAAATGGTCAGAAGTTACAGGAAAGCAAGTAGCCCATGTGCCATCTTGGATTGGAATAAAGGCTATGGAATGGAGAAGTACTGGTGAGGTATGAGGGGAAGTTGAGCTGTGTTCATAGAATACTGAATGCTTCTGTAAAGGGGTAGGTGGTTAATTCTTTTAAGTCCTGAATCTTTGGAAGGATTCCACTAAAGTGATATAATCCATGTTGTAGATTGGTTAAAGACAGAGAGAGAGTGATTTAAGAAGCTTTTGTATGAATAAGAGTATGGAAAAAAGCAATTCACATAAATGTTTCCACATAAGAATGGCCTTGATATTTGAATCACATATGTCCTCAGCACTTACCCCAAGTTCCTCTAAGCCAGTGATCGTTGTTCAAGAATTTTCTAATTACTATTCCTGGGTTGCTGTGGCATCTAGGAGGTGGAAGAGGTGAGGACCCAAGGCAAATATAGAATTAGAGAATGCAGTGCAGTGTCACTACAGAACTTCAGAGAAGAAGTGCTGAGCATGGGCCTAAAAAGTTAGGGATCGCTTCATGGAGGAGATTGAATTTAAACTACACATCAAAGAGTATATAGAAAAGGGTGTGTAGGGATTGAGTCAACGGGCCACATAAGCATGGCATAGGGATGGGAGTTAGCTTAAAAAAAACCGCTTCTGGTAGAAGTTAAGAGTGGTGGGAGAGAAACAAGAGAGAGGTTCTTTGTTTATCATTTTTCTAGTTGGTTTGGTGTGAGCAGGTAGAGAATACAGAATGGGCAGGCCGGAGTGAGGCGAAAATCAAATCGTAAAATATGTTAAGAAATGAAGTAGTTTTCAACTTTTTCTCTTACCTATTTGTTAGTTGGTGTTAGATGTGTTATCCATTTGTTGAGTAGTTGTTATGGATTGTAACATGGAAGAAAAGTGAACCAGAGCATCAAAAAGCTTGGAGGCTGACACAGGCTCTGCCAGCACCTTGCTACATGATCCTGTTTTATAAAGTAGAGGAATAGGAAGGAAAGCAGAGTCGGGTTGGGAGAGGTCTGAGCTTCCTCCTCTATAAAATGAACGTAATATTTCCTTTGTAATGAGTGCTCAAAATTCAACTCATCACTCACTAACAGGATCTTAAAGATGTCTAAAAGAAGGGCATGAGAAAAATTGTTGACTAGTAAATCAGTGTTTTTCTTGGGAAAAAATAGTGGTATTTTATCAAATTGTGTTGTTTTGCTATCTCGTGTTTGTTTTGTTTTATTCCATTTCATTCAGTTTGCTATTTTCTTTGCTCCTTAGGGGAAAAGAGAAATTCCCAAATGTAAGAAAGATTTCGTTTCTTCTAGAAAGAATATTGCAGGAACATAATTGAAACCTCTTGAGCAGTGGTTTTCCAGGTTGTCCAAGAACCCTCTGGCACTGCATGGAAAATGTGGTGTGAATATCCACTTTTGTGGTGCGAGAGTCCGTAGCTGGCCTTTAGTTCTTCAAAGAGCCTATGAGGCAAAAAAAGAAGTTACTAACCTCCAACGTGGAGCCAGATTCCTGATCTTTGAGGAGGTCATGCCTCTGGGAAATGGGAGGTTGTCTTTGGAACTGTAGCAAGACCAGTGCCTTCCTCTCCTCTCTGTGGTCCTGACCCAGCTTTGAAGCTAGTTTCCCCATTTCCCCATGCTATGACAGAGTCTGCCGCACAAGAGTGAACAGTGAGAGGGGCAGGGTCGTATGTGGGGCTGCCTGGAGCCTGGCTGCCGGCTTCACTTCCTAGCTCCACCACCTGCTGGCTCCAGGCTCTGGGCATCGCTTCCCCGTCTGTAAAAAAGGACAACAGCGGCAGCTGCTTCATGAGCTTATAGTGAGAAAGAATTGAAACAGCCTTTGGAAAGCCCCCACCCCAGTGACTGTACAGGCTAAACTTTTAATAAATGTGAGCTCTGCATATTAGGTTTATAAATGATCTAGGATGCTTATTTAGCTGAGATAAAAATTTTCCTTGAATTGACTGGCTAATAAGTACATAACGAGCTGGCCCCAGGTGCGCATTCTATTATCTAGAAATAGCTATATATATGTGAAACGTGGGAGCAAGGGTAGAAGCTGTCTGTGAACAAGTCTCCTTTCCAATTTAAAAAATGGTGAAACAAAAACAAAACAAAACAAAGAAGCGTTAACAAACCACAGAAGCATGGTCTGCAGCTGCAGTCTATGTGCAATTTTACAGACAGATTGTATTGCATTCCCAGAATAGCAACAGGAGGAGAGAGCGGAAAGAGTCCTTGTACTAAACATTCTTTTAAAAGAAAACAAAATCTTCTATTTGTTAATGTTTTAAAAATGAGAAAACCCTGATATTATTTTAAGAGGGGAAGGGGAAGCACTCCAAATGCCTCTGAGTTCTAACGGGATGAATTTGAAAATGGTACATATTTGATTTTATCCTTAGCCATGAATTTCCAGGAAGAGAAATGAAAACTTGTCAAGTTTTATGTCAGTGAAATAAAACAAAGAAAAGAATTAAACAGTTGTACATAAAGGGCACTTTCTTGAAAATTCCCAGTGTTTACCACATGAAATCACTTCACTTGGCGCAAAGCTGAAAACAGCTCACCTTCTAAAAGTAACATCCCTGATGTGCCACACTGGGATTGCAGGGCCGGGGAGCTACCAGCTCAGGGCTGCATAGGACAAGGGTGGATTCAGGAGGCTTTGTATTAGCCGTGAATCAGGACTCTTGAATTCTATGCTGCGCACCCAGGTGCCGCTCAAAGACTGTGCAGATTTCCACAGGCAAAGGATCCCCACCAAGCAGCCACAGTTAGCATACTTACCCAGACGTTCCTAGATTTTCAATTAACATCAACAAGAGAAATAAAAATTTGCCTAGACCAGTCGTTCTCAACCAGGGGCAATTGTGCCCCACAGGGGACATGTGACAATGACTCTCGCTTGGCCCTTACCTACCTTTCCTGCAGAACCCTCTGCCACACTGAGCTTCCTGGGGGGCCTTGATGTATTTTGCGTGTTTCTGTCTTTGCATATGGTGTTTTCACTATGGTGAAACTGCCCGTTGTCCCAGCTCCTCTGCTTTTCAGCCTACAAACTCTGTTCTTCCTTCAAGATTTTGTGCAAATATTGTCACCTCTCTGGAGTATCCCTGGGGCCTCCAGAGTTGCTAGCTTCATCCTTTGTACTCAGTACTTGTAATTGATAAGTTTATTTGCCCTCTAGATTGTGAACCCTTTAAAATAAGGACTGTGTTGCCATCATTGTTGGAAAAATTTTAAAATAGTTAGAATCCATGAAAAATGCCTAGCCTATAGTAGGTGCTCAGTGGATGAATTAATGGAGAGATAATGGATGGATGGATGAAGGGAGAGATGGAGGGAATGGATGGATGGATGAGCATCAATATGTTTTAAGAGCAGATAGGATAGAAATTTCACGTAGTACCGGTTTCACAATAAATAACTTACAGTTGTAAAATTTTACTCCATATGCTGTTGAAATGACCTTGAGCTATCAAATTCAATCCAAGAAATAAAGTAAAAGGAAAATGAAGGTGCTCCTCATGGATTCTGCCAGAGATGATGTAGTCCTTTCAGAAAAAAAAAAAAAAGGAAAGGAAAAATGTTCCATTGATTATTGAACACCCAGCATTTTGAAAAGCAAAAGTAACAACAATCCTTGTATTCTGTGCTCCTGTAGGTCACTGGGAACAAAATGACATCTCTAAACTTGGCCACCATATTTGGACCCAACCTGCTGCACAAGCAGAAATCGTCAGACAAAGAATTCTCGGTCCAGAGTTCGGCCCGGGCTGAGGAGAGCACAGCCATCATCGCTGTGGTGCAGAAAATGATTGAAAATTATGAAGCCCTGTTCATGGTAGGTGGCCCTGTTATGGCAGGACATCTCAGTAAACTGCATGTTGATTATTCTTGGTGGCGTAGTGAAACTCTCTCACACTGCCTTCTGGTCTACAGTGCTGGTCGTTGACTGAACTCGTTGGAAGCCAGACAGTTTCAATAGGAATAGAAATTTACATACCTATGATATCACTATAAGTTTGTGATTCCATGTTTAAACAAACATATCCAAATTATACATTTCATTTTGTCGTCCCCTAAACAATGGTCACGTTTTGGAGTCATTTAATTCTTCACATAGCAGTGTCCTTGCTCAACATATTGATGAAAACCCTTCTTTTTGGAATGGCCCTCATTAATTCATGTATTGATAACCATCTTCAGCAATGGCACCTCCTCCAAGGTGAATCTCGACATTTTACCTCCTCCATGAAGCTTCACCTATCTTTCCCGTGTCCTCATGTCACTTTCCCAGGTCATTTCTCTGTCCATTGAACCCCATTACTCTTCTCATTGATGTTTATCTTACTCAACATTGTATTGCGTCATTTATGACTATTTCCCCTAGTAGATTATAAACGCATTTTAAAACATGGGCTGTGCCCTTGTTATCTCCTCTCTGTATCCTCTGTGCACTTTTGGAAGGCCCTCCATCTGGCAGGCACTCAATAAACAATTTTTTGATTTGTATTGAATTACCAGTTCCTGTTTTCCTTCAAAAAACTACATTGCTTGCTCAAACTTCCCTTGAAACATTAGAACAAGTGCCAACTCTCTTCTATTTCTGTTCACCACTCATATTGCATATCAAAATTTACAGGAACTTTCTCCATGTTTCTCCTCCCATTTCTCTTGTCACTTTGCAAACACTCACTGTAAATCTTACCTATTCTGCTAGAGCCTTTTGTGGCTTCTTCAACTAAATGTGCTATTTCCTTCTTTTGAATCTGCTTAATATTTTGTCTACATTTATCAAATGCCTTGTGTTAGATTTATTTCCATACTTGTCTTATACTAATGATTTTTCGTAAATTTGAGAGCCAGTGGTTTAGAATCTTTGCCCTCTCTGTCTTGCCTGTGATCGTGACCAAGTAATTCAACACTCAGTAAGCATCAATTTCAGCTTCTGTAAAATAGGAAAAATAAAAATATGACCTATTTCCAAGGGTGATTCCCAGAATCATTTGATATGTGAAAGCATTCTGTGAACTGTAAAATTCTATGCAAATGTTGATTCATAATTATATTGGTTGGACAACATGGGCCGGCTCATATCTCAGTATTTCAACACAGCAGACATAAATATCTTCCTAGCATAAAGTTTAATCAGATGTTTGGCAAGCAGCCTTCCAGGTGGCAATTCAGGAACCCCAGCTTCTTGCATCTTGAGACTCTGCAGTCCTCTAGGATTTTATGGGCCAAACCTAGAAGGGACTTCCATCATGTCCACTCAAATCCCATTGGACAGAACTCAGCCACAAGTCATACTTAGCTACAAAGGAGACTGGGAAATGCATTCTTGCTGGATGCCCAAGAGGAAGAGGAAATGGATTTACTACAGTCAAACATTCACTGAGATAGAACAGTGTCTTGCTCTTCCTTGAGTCTCGGAAGCACTGTCCCTGTGTTGCACACAGTAAGCTCTCAAAAAATGTGGAGTAATTGACTCTATATAAATTTCACACTTCAGCCGAAATGCTCATAATTAATTACATGTTTGGATAAATCAAATGTCTGAACTTTTCAGCATTTTTATCAAGTTTTAAGTCACACATAATCTTGCCAAGTAGTCTTGGCATTACTTCATGCTCTCTGGATTTTTTTTTAATACAATAATACCTCTTGTCAATCTTAATTCCGCTGTCTAAATTCTGTATTCTAAGCAAAGTTCTTCATATGAAACCACAAACCATCAGGCATTTCTTTGCACCTCAGATACTAACAAAACTCATCTTGGCCTCCTTGAAAGTATGGTTGTTGTCACCTTAATTGTGCCATTCCTTTCCTTCCCATTTCCTGCTGCCTGGACTACTAGAAAGAGCAGAATAACGTGTTTTCCACCTTTTCCAATATTTTCCAAATCTGATCTTTGTTTGCCATTCTCTGTAGAGATCGACGTTGAGATTCTCTTGAGAAGTGGCTCATATTTCTGTTCTCTGGTTGTGGTCTTTACTTCTCAACAAGGCCTTTCCTGGTTACCTTGTCTAAAATCCAACCCCCATCACCACCACTGCACACACAGCCTCACTTCCTAATCCTTTTCCCTGCTTTTTCTCCTTAGCTTTCACCACTATTAATACAGGGTTTTACTAATTTCTCTTGTTTGTTGTGTTTCCCCACTAGAATGTAAGCTCCTTGACAGGAGGAATTTTTGTCCGTTTTCATCTACTTTCTTTACTACAATAGCCCTGTGCCTGACACATGGTAGAATCACAAGAAATATTGGTTGAGTTAATGAATGACTCAGTGGTAATTCTGTGATGTATGGTTTCCGTCTTACTAATCTTTACTCCCTATACATATGAAAAAGTTTGGGCATGGAGGAATTAAGGATACATTCTCAGGATAAGTTAACCATTAACATAAGCATCCTTGATCTCTTTAGACAGATTATAGGAATTATATATTGAGAAAAAGGACAGTGAGGAGAGATGAGACGTGGGATAAAGATCCCAAGCCTGGATCAGTAAAAAGAAAACCAGCTCCGGAACCAGAAAACTTTGTTATAGTCCTATCTTTGCTACACACTAGCCATGTGATTTCACCTTCTTAGATTTCTATTTGTTTAGTTATCAAAGGGCTAGGTTAGAACAGATGACAACCAAGAATCCTCCTGGTCCTAAAATCTGCATGGTTCTACGCCCTAACACTGACTTCACCTCTTTTTTTCCATAAAGCACAGAAGAAAAATAGTCTCATTGCTTTGTATATTCTCTTGGCAGATTTGGTATTTTAGAATCTATTTGGTTATACCAAAGCTGGTGGCTGGTTGGCAAAGCTGGTCTGTGTAGGTGGGCAAAAATTCAATATGCATATAGCTGTTTTATTTTGTTTTGTTTTGTGTTTTTAAGAAGCTTTCAGAATTACTACAATAATTCCAAACAGGGAAGCATGAAGGTAGACAGGACCTGATGGTGAAAAGTAGTTAGCAATTGTGCAGTTTCACAGTCCTCGGAAGGGTTTATAAGTTCAGAAAGAGAGGCATTGCTTCCCATCGGCATTGGAGAGGAAGACTTGTTAGGAAAGGTGGCTGTGAGTTTGCCCTTGGAGGCAGAATGCACCCTGGAGGCAGCACTTCCACAGAAAACCTGATGGAAGAGATATAAAATCCCACAGAGGCCTGGCAGGGAGCCAAAGTTTGTTCTGCGTGTTAATAACGTCCTTCATTTCCTGGTGTTGAGCCTGCCTCTCCCAAGTGGCCAGTATGTGAGTTAATATGAAAGGGCAGAAAGGAACTTAGCTTTGTCCCATAATAACAAGAGGCTGACACGCAGTTCAAGAGTCTGGCTGGGACCATCTTTTGTACCAATTGTTCACTTTTCAGGCACTAGGTTAGAAATCCTAGAGCTGGAAACAGGTCATGATAACAGCCGTCATGATCACTTTATGGAAAGGCCAAGGCAGCAGATTGTAATAGTGGTTCTCAGACTTGAGCGTGCAGCAGAGCAGCAAGGAAACTGGTCAAACATTCAGATTCCAGCGCCACATCCCAGAGAATCAGACTGGGTAGCACTGGGAAGGGGCCCAGGAATCCGCACTCTCTAATGAACACCTCCAGGGCAATCTGGTAGTTTCCTAACCACTCTTTGGGAAACCACATCTTGGGAAACACCCAAGATGGTAGAAAGACCATGAACTTTGGAATGAGCTGCCAGAATTCAAATCTCTGCTCAGCTATATATTTGCTCTGTGGTCTTGGCCCCATGTTTAATCTCACTAAGCTTTCATTTTCCTGTTGTAAAGAAATGAGATGAAGTTACCTAATTTATACGATTATTTTGAGAATTAGAAATGACATTTTAAGGCACTTGGAGGAAGAATTGATATATACCAGGCATTCAAAAAGAAAAGATTTCTGCTATTATTACATTAAATTGATATGATGTCTGCCCTATCAAAATACTTTCAGGCATCGCCCTTTCAGTGAAGCCCACCCTGACCGCTGTGTGTAACAGTGTGACCTGCTCCCACACATACATACTCTTAGTTCCTTACTCTGCTCTTTTTTTTCTTTTTTCCATAGCACCTATCACCTTTTATTTATTTATTTATTTATTTTTGAGGAAGATTAGCCCTGAGCTAACATCTGCCTCCAATCCTCCTCTTTTTGCTGAGGAAGGCTGGCCCTGAGCTAACACCCATGCCCATCTTCCTCCACTTTATATGTGGGACACCTGCCACAGCATGGCTGGCCAAGTGGTGCCATGTCCGCACCAGGGAGCCCTGGGCCGCTGAAGTGCAACGTGCGCACTTAACCGCTGCGCCACCAGGCTGGCCCCATCACCTTTTAACTCACTATATAATTTACTCATTTATTATGCTTATTGAAACCTAATAGAATGCAAACTTAATGAAGGCAGAGATTTTTGTTTGGTTGGTTCATTAACATCCACAGCACCTAAAAAGCACTTTGCAGAAAACGGGTGCTCAGTAATTATTTGTTGAGTAAAATATTGTTGAATAAAATAAAATATTGTTGCAACAATATATTGCTAGAAAAAAATGTTTTTGTTGTTTGTTTTTGGTTCAGTGCCAATACCCCTTAGATTCCCTTACCTTTAAAGCATGACCCTCCATTTACGATATCAACAACAATTTAAAAGCTGGATAACATAAAATGATACTCTCTGGGAATACTGGAAGTAAAGGAGAAGGATCAAGCATATCTAGAAATGGTCACTGGTATCATTATAAGACAGAAAGCGTTCACTGACTAAATCATTAACTCATTAGTTGTTCTGAAAGTTGTTGCTTCTGTAACTGACATTGAGAATCCCAGAGAAAACTCATCGTTTCTCT